AAATAGGCGTAGACGAATTCTGTTCAATATGTTGCTCATGTAGTTTATTCCGGATACCAAAATAAGTTTTAATTGAAAAAAATCGGTTACACACTTTCACAATCATAGTAATGATATTTTACATATCAAGGTATTATCAATGAACTTGTATACACAATATACTATATCAGAAACTAGAGAGGACAATGGGAGTTCTACACATGTGATATAAAAATCACCTTAATTAGTACCGGCTTCTTTAAAAATATATTGAATATAAAATATCACTTTTATCGTAATTGTATTAGCAGAGTGTAAAATATGTTTGAATATGAAAGTCAGAATCCACGTGTGAAAAGATGATAAATAATCATTTATTTTTCCATAATTTGTTACACCCTTGTATAATCTATTTTATTCGGCTGTTGTCCTAATCATTACTTTTCCCTCTAAATCTGATTTTCAATCCCGATTACTCCGTCCACCCGCAGGATGAACGGTGTCCGAAAAATGAGATATTACTCATCCTTTTTATATAGACAAGCGTATTTAATATTTTGTTTAAAATAGGTTAATAAGTAGATCTGTTATATTTCGAAATATATTTGGAATGGGTATAATATTAATCATAGCATATAATGCGTTCATCGATATTAATGGTGATTTCGTATTAATGGCTTAGACAACGGCTTGTATGTTTTTGGCAGTATATTTTATATAGATGAAACAAAACACATGGTGATTCTTTTTCTTCTGTAATAAACCCATTGTTTAAAAAGAAAAAATATCCCCATAATCCCACATGCCTACAAACTTAGAGACGGTTTTGATGCAATGGTTTTCTCTCTGATCGACGTGAGGTAATTTTTAAATTTGATTTTCTATCTATGATGTGAAGGTCAGCCTTATTTAAAATGTTTATTTGTCTCTCCATTGGGCTCTTTGTCTTCTCTCATTTCTTGATATTTAAGAATGTGTCAATTACTTAGATTTGACCTAATCAAGGTATGTTCATTGGGTTGCCATAAAACTTTTCTTGTTTCACACACCTTATTTTCATTTTTATCGTGTTTGAATGTATATTTAGCATTGTTCATATTTTATTTTATTTTGGTTAGGTTCTAAATTTAATGTTGGTGTATGTAACAATAAGCGTAATACTTACATGTATCTATAGTCAGCACGGATTGAGAAATTAAATGTTTGGAAATATCGTCTCCATTACGTTTTACAAACCTCGTAATTTTAACCGCGTCGACAAGTTAATGACATACAAACCATCTTAAATATCGAGAAATGGTCAGAAAGAAGGGACAGGGTGTTAACCTTATCACCTCAGTCCATGTAAGAAAACCGAAAACTTGTACAAGTTGTACAACAGACACAAATGAACAGCACCATTTAATACAAATTTGGATAAAATAAAGTAGAGTCAAACAATGAATTAAACTGAAGTTCAACTAGTTATGGGATAACTTATTTTACTCTTGTTTTTTCTGAAGCAAAGAAATTGTTTAAGGCTGATTAATAAGTGATAATGTCGATCTTCGTTTATTTATGGATTCTGTGTTTTATCGTGGAGTTACAATGCTGGTATTCCTGTAACCCTCCAATTCTACACCTGGTATCTGTTAAACATCTATACCAAATCTTGTCTTCATTCTTATTTTATTTATCTCTACTCTGTCTATGCAATAAATATTTTTGTAACACACGTAAAATAACATGTGGAATTACACTTATTCCTATTTACTATGTAAATAAATACCAAAACTTTTTATTTGTACGTTTTTGTATGGTTAAGAGTCTATAAGGGGCTATATTTTTTGTAAATAAAGGAAACACATACTGACAGACAGATGGTTACAGCAGTACACGTGATATAGAGAAAACACGTGGAAATGTTTAGTATATGTCTTTTTGAAGATTGTGGAACTCAAAATGAAGTGAAAATATTGTTTGTCTAGAAGGATGTAACTTGTTCGCAACAATGATAGTCGGTTGGTGCTTTTGTTTTTATGGCAGGGTATACTTTTAGTACCTGGTAACTACCTCGCTGAACAACTAGCGGGGTCCCGTCAAATGCTGTCCAGAGAAAACAAGGGTTAAGTGTTTTGTCTAAGGACAGAACAGCAGATACCGGTTCATTTCTCAGCTTCCTGAGAAACAAACCGCCACAAACTGAGAACTTCGATTCATATGCCTCGGACCTTCACTTGAGGTTACGGAGGCAAGCGCTCTTTCCGACGGTTGGTGCTTCAACACAACGAGATCCAAGGACATAATTTGATAAAAGTGATAACATTCGTGATTAATTGTTAATTGGTAAATACACCCATCTTTTCCTAATGTAGCCTTGCTGTAATACGTCTTTTCAATCGTATGTAACTAAAAAAGATACAAGAACTAAGTTCTAACTTTCTGTGATTTATAAAAATACCATTGATGATTCTGGTCAAAACATGTTTCAGGAAATTTAGCAAAGTCTGTTGGGTGTACTACTACCACTTTAGAAGTCGTGAAGCGCTGAGTATCAAAACACTCTTATATGCAGTCTCCATGAAAACAGGCTCTCGGCACTTACAAATTTATACGGCAGAAAATGTTGCTCTAGTTTATTTAAAGACGGGTAGTTATAGAAACATATTGTTAGTATCACATATTCTTAATTTTCAATTTTACACCTTTCCACAACAACTTGTAGCATTTATTTTATAATGTTGCTTGGCAACAGGATTTAGACAGCTTTGTCTCAGATGGTTTGCAGAGTTTGGATAAAACAGAACATGTCTTTGTTCTTTAATGCTTTATAGACTGTTTGGGCAGGTACACTAACACAATTAATCTTTACTTATACAAACAAATAAAAACATGTAAAGTATTTACTGGTGTTTTCATTTATTTTCCTGGTTTTTACCAATGTTTCAGAAGTTTTAATTGTGCTTCTGTTTTGTTTTTTTTCCTTTTCGTTCTTGCATCTATACTAGCTAATTCATAACACATGCACGTGTACATTTTGAACTTCATACTGTAACATGCTGTTTCTTCTATGCGTTGCCTACATAAAGCTAACCTATGGCTGTATCTACACACAAATTGTTGTAGAAATGTATCAGAAATGCTTGGCTAATATTCGGTATCACTGACGAGTCAGAAAAGGATGAAACAGCTGTATGATGCTGTTTGATTATTTATTTGCCCTATTGTATCTGATACTGAATTCGTAAGTGCTTCTCACTGGTGTCCTTTTGTACAATCTTTATTATAGCCAACACGCAATGAATTGATGTTAAGGTGTTAATAAATGTAACATTAATGTAAGACTGAATCTGGTTATCCCATACAATGATATATTACAGCTTTGTCAAAACGTATTACAGGAGAGTAGAATATTAATATCATAGAATATACTGTTGGAAGTGAATATAAAACCATACATAAATAAATCGGTAATTTGATATTTATTACCTCTGACATAAATGAGGAAATATCTATATCTTGAATTTTCTTAGTGGTTGTGTCTAAGGGAGATAGCTTTTTTACGTAACACTTATAAAATATATAATTAAGGGTATATGCTATATTACGAAATGTATTAAAATGGGTATGTATGTGAAGTAAATGTTATATCATGTTAGATAACTTAAAGATAAACTAATGCTCACAACGTTTCGTCATCCACAGTAATAAAGAATATGTTTATAGATATGAAAACGGGAAGTATTTTTTTTAGAATATGAAACTAAATCCTATAAGATAGCATTTTAACTTAAAAATTATGAGTAGCTGTGGGGCACGTCTTGATATCTTTACAAGAGGGTTATCTATCACGGCACGGGGTACACATTATGACTTGTTCTGATGTGAATACACCACCAATGCGTAATGCTTATCTCACGAGTGAGTGTTGCGGTGGAAAATTATTTTCAGAGAACGTCAGTCTTTTCCATCATCCTGGGTGTTATTAGCAATTACATTACAGGCTCTGTACACTTAATTGGTCTACACACTATGGAACTTTCCCCTATACAAGTATGTCAGTGGATTTTTCACGTTCTCATTCGTGAAACATGATCTTGTCAGAAACATGCAGTGGAAAGACATCTGGCCGAGATATTCTGTACTTGTGGAGTCCCCAGAACTCACCAGGGGGTCAAACGACTTACCAGGGGGTCAAACGACTCCAAGCAGAAACAGCTTCATATATACAAGTTAACATTTTTACTGCCAGGAATATTAAAAGTTGGGCATTGATTTATTTGTCCACGTATTAATAGACTCAAAAGTTCGTAAAATGACAAGAATTCTGAACATGGATGGGCATTTTGTGCATAGTAGTTAGAAAGTATAAGATATCAATTAATATTGTAGGAAGATGATAAAGCATTAGGTTTATAGTTTCTATACGTGTTGGTATCACAGATATGTCATACTTGAATATAAGCTGTAAGTTTTATGCAGAGTATTCTTAAACAGACCCCGAGTCGCGTGGCACCCATTAGAAACACACGAGCGTGCAGTTTATTAGCAAGATAACAGAATTTGTTACCGACAAGAGCTAGGGGTTACCATAACGTAATTTAAAGTTGATTTGTTACCAAATGTTATATAATATATACTTCGAACAAGTTTATTAGTACGGTGTGAGTTTGTTTATGTTGACGTCTTATTCAAAATAATAATTAATAAAACAGTTTAAGCGTTCATGCTCTGTTGGATAGAAGCTGTTTTAAAAACATGTATTTTAAATGAAAAATAAACCAATTAAAAACACGCGAATGTTGTGTGTTCTGTATTAAGTACAGTAATTTTCATTCCTCATAACTGATGCTAGGTTTAAATATCGTACGGAGAACGACAATGAAAAAAAAAATAGCATAGTATGTTTGCAGTTCACATGAGTCTGTGTAACAATCACGGAACATGATAAGTAAACACAGGGTTAGGTACGGAAGGGTTAGTAAATACACTCGTTTTGTTAGTATTGTCCACTATTGGTCACTTTTTGACCATATACGTACCAGTCAAACACTGTCATAGAACTGCCAGTCTCCACACAGAGTCCATTTCCCATGTTGGCTGGTTTGGCTTGGAACCACCACCAAATCCAAAAATATCAAAACTCTGGAAGACCAAGAGTTACACCGAACTCTCAAAACGTTATCAATTAAGGATTAGAAACTGGCGATCCTTATGGAGAAGTACAAACAATTAACGAAGAATTACTTTTCTTTGCTTTCGTCGGATAATTGTTTCACGGTGTAAAAAAATCCAAGAATTCGTTTCAGAGCTAACCAGGAGCTGGTGCCTGGCCGGCCATGTTGGAATAGAACGGTGCTTGTTTCGCGAGTCGTAGCACTGGTATGGGCCTGTCTGTATAATAGCTGTCACAGAACTCACAAAGGCAACCCGTATACCCAGTATATACTTACGGTAATTTGGAAACAAGCCAAACTCTTTATATTATTTTTTATAAGTTTGTCAATTTAAAATCCGTCAGCTTGTGCCCTTTAAAAGACTAAGGGATTTACACGGTTCGGGGAGCGTCTATTGAGAACAATTGAACAGGCGTCATAGTATTGAAGAGCGTATACATACTTGAAATGTCACCCCTGCTTTAACTCCGAGCTCTCGCGAGTATATAATATATACTTGTACAACATTTGATCTTGAATCTGATGATATTAAAGGCTTCTTCAATTTAAAACTCCCGTATTTTCCAACACTGATCACGTGACGTAAAATGCATGTACTCTGTAATATCCCGTGTGTGTGTTATGTGGATACACATGTAGGTTGTATACACGGGAAATCTACAGGTACCTATATACCTCAGTATAATACCTCAGTAAAAAGAAAGCGCAACTAATTGTCGACTCTCGCTCACGATCTTGCTGGTGCCCTATGGAGCTATTTTTTACTTACGTCTGTTGAGAACTTCCGGTTGACCCTGTAAAGCAGTGGGGTCAAAATTGACATAGCGTCACTGAGGCAATGAATACCTAAATGACATCAGTAATTTTTAAAGGCGACGGTATACAAAAGGCAGGTTAGCAGTGTTATGGCGCAATGTTATTGGGCGTAATTATTAATAAACTGAGTGGGCTAATTATGTTGTTTAATCAATTCAGGCTTTACATTATATGAAATGTGAGTCATCCCTACATTCCAATAATCCTGATAATCAGAATAAAATTATTGAGTGATAAATCAAAAATGAATACAAAATGTTTTTGTAGATAATTATTATTTATATAAATTGTGGTAATTCATTAACCTAAATGTTAACATTCCTCATAAGTATAAAAATAATTAATCTATAATACAAATACAACTATGTAATTACATGTATACAATCAAGATAATTTCATTTTACATTTTAAATAGATCAACATTCCTGTACTCCTTTTTCTTCGATTTGATACGCATAATATCGACCATTTCCTGGCAAAGTTTTCAACAAAAGTCTTTGGACAAGTTTAAGTAAACATGTAAGTTGTTTCCTTGTTTTATACAGCTGTTTGTTTAATCATGGTGTTATTCTTGTCATAAGGAATGATAATGATAAAATCAATGATATCTCGGATAATAAATTCCTATAACCGGGAACTAAACGAGAACTGGAAAATACTAACTTTTCCCTGTATGATTACAGGTAGCGAACCGTAATGCATTCTGGGAGAACGTGTGATCGTAGTCAGGACATTTATATATGTATGACACGGTGTAGATAAGCTAACAAATGCTCCTTCTTCTGACACGTCCCGGTACTAGCTTACAGTCTGTGAAGTAATCTCCCTTTCTCTCCGGTTCTATTTTCTATATAATTGTTTATAAAGTTCATGGTTGTGTACACCAGAATTAAACAGCCGACCTGTTACTGATAACCTGATAGTGTTGTTTGTCACGCGGTCTCAAGTTTCTGAAGGTAAATATAGAAACGTACAAACAGGAAGTGCAAAGTTCGTAAAATATCGGATACCGAAATAACAGAGACATACATAAAACAAAAAGCTTTGTAGTGCAAATACGAAAGTGAAAGTAGGGCTTGATTTATTTGACAAGGGCGTTTCGTTTTTATTTTCATAAAAAATAATTGCTTTATAAATTACGATGTCTTGAGAAAAAAATGATTGATTTTCCAATAACCATGACACAAGATGATAATTATCATACAAAAGTCATTTTCATTTCAGTGAACTACTTTCCTCTGGAATTTATGATAATATGAGAGGACAACACCCACATTTCTCATAACCTATCTAAAAGAAGACAGAAAAAATGAGCTTAATAGTGTATCATTTTAATCTTTCACTCAAGCTTTCATCTGTATTTTCTATAATTTCAAGCTGGTATGACGGAAAAACCGAATTGCAAACTGAAAGCATGCGCGTAAAAATAAGTCCAAACAGACCCATTGCAAGGTGGCGTGTTGCCATTGACCCCACAAATCGTTAACAAGAACGCAGAGTTTTTTTTCTGGCGAATCAAAAAGCAGAATTTTGCGTACAAAATGACAGAAAATATTCGTATTCTTTTAAATCATCACTCTCGTGTACTTCACGTGACGTAAAGCTAACAGAGTTACACACATGTGGCACCCATTTCCTGTCTACTACCTTCCTATTTACTAAAATCAGTTTATTTGAACTTTGAAATATCACTGCAGCCAATTCAAAATGGTATTATCTTGTCAAGCAGAACGTTAACATAAAATCTTTCGCTATTTTGACATTTTGTATTTTTGACTTGTGTTTTTCATATACAATATACCATAGTAAAACCTGTTTGAAAGGCTGACTATATACAATGTGTACCTGTCTATAAAGCCCATTAGTTTCGGGTCCCAGTGTGATACAAATTATAGTAAAGGAACCACTTAGCTATAAAAGACGAGTTCCTCTATTTAGTGCAGTGTCCTGCAAAGACAAGCATGACTATGTTGCTTTCCATTGAATATATCCTTTTATATATCTTCCCAAGGATTTGATAAAAATGTATCGACTCTTTAAAGCATCGCTTACTTCTTGGTCACAAGACAGTCGACAGGCAAAAAAAAAAAAAAAACTTTTCATGCGGCTGGTCAAGGAATCCAAATAGATAATCTGCAGTACTAAATAGGGACGAGGGGGACCATAGACTCTCACACATCTATGTCCAAGTGTTTAGCGTAGTTGAATCGACTACAGTATATTGTTACAGTTATCTTTTTACCATCTCGTAAAAGAACGTTCTATTGTGGTGTACATAGGATTATAGTACAGCCGAAAAAGCCTTTCGATTCCTTACCACCTCGGACACTACTTACGTCTGATGAAAGTGAAAGTGTTGTCATTGAAACATCACGATTAGACCTTTTACATCACATCATAGCTTCGTGTGATAGGATGGGTTGTCTGGAGAGGGAGTCATAATTTTATTTACACGATTACACTTATTGTCTCTTTGTTTACACTGAGTCAGCTTGTTTATCTGTCTTACATCGTGTATACATACGTCGCTGAAAGTTTACACCTGTGTTCCCATCACGCTTACACACACACAAACAGACATCTGGTCAGCTAACATTTGCCGTGCTACTTGTCTCATTCCACGCCAGCTTTCACATCGATATGTCATCGTTATTCTGACTTTACGAGGTGTGTAGCTTATAGAGAAACGAAAGCTAACTTGTATCCTGGTGTTTGAATATGGTACAAGATACACTCTTATATTTCCAACCCCCCCCCCCCCCCCCCCCCCCAACACACACACACCTCCTCCATTGCTTTGGTATTTAGAAGATATTTGATCATTTAACTTCTATTACAATCAATAAAGGTGAAGGTCATTCAATGGTAACTCATTATGTAAACTTGCTGCAGGTAAAATATCACTTCATAGGGCCTATTGGTCATTGAGAAAAAAGTTTTTATGAAAATATGACGCCCTTGACCCCTGCGACCTTGATAATGGATCAAGATAATACATATGAACATACGTGGTAGCATTTCGTATAAGCATTATCTGTACCCTGGGCCTCTTGTTTATCGAAATGTTGTTTAAAGAGTGTGATACATTTCACCCCTGTAACCTTGAAAGTGAGTCAATGGCATTCATTTCAAAAGGCAGCATGTTACAGACCCAATATTAGTTCTTAGGGCCTCTCGAATAACGAGATGTTACTTAATTTTAATACGGATGACCCATATAACATTGAAAATGAAGGTAATTCATTTACAAATAACTTGATAATTTTTGGTCCAGGAAGCTACAGACCCGATATTAGGATCCAGGGTCTCTTAAATAAAGAGAAGATGTTAACTTTTAACAATTTAACCTCTCCGACAATTAAAACCAATAAGAAAGTTCATTTGTCCAATTATTATACAAAGACAGCGTGGTTTTAAGATCTAGAGTTGTCAAATATAAGCCCACGTGACAAGATAAAACAGAAAATAAAGTAATATTACATTTAAGATATAGAAGAATTCTAATTATATGTTTTAAACTGCGCTTGACTTCTCATTTTCAAAACAGAACAGATAGGAGAATAAGTATTCGATGAAAATAAATAAATAAATAAAGAAGGCAGTCTTTTTTTATTCGTTTTGTTTTGTTTTGTTGTTGTTTCGTCCCATTTTTTCTATGTATCTGCTGGTGTTAAAACACTCGTGATAACGATTCTTTTCACTGAGTTGTAAATAAGTCAGTTTAATCTTAGTAATATTGATGACGATTGAGCTTTATCAAAAAACACCAACAAAACTTTATCTCACGGTGTTTTTGGATTTTATTTATGTTAAATTCCTTCTGACCCATTGAACGTAAGTTTAATTCCGTATTAAAATGTATATGATAATTGAAATACGACACATCAACTTTACCTAATTAATACGAGAAAACTTAAATTTCTAAACACTTTATCAATACATTATACGTATTTATATTTTCTTATTTACCTCCTTTCAACAGAAACATATATTAGATAAAATATTGCATTCATTTGTTAGATTTATCGATTTTATTTGTTATTGTTTTAAAATTATAACAGAGAACGTATATACAATTTAGAATAGAAGTTCTTACAACACAACCAGTAGAACATTAGAGTGTGACGTTTCCGTGACTACACGGTCACCTTCATCTTATA